AGTGAACAGCCGCACCTTTCACAACGAATGGCGCGGTGGTTGTCATTCTTTGCAGAATACAACTTTACGGTCGAGTACAAACCAGGACGACTTAATGTCGTCGCTGATGCACTCTCACGTCGTCCCGACTTTGAACCAGTCGTGAAACCCAACAGTGAGACAGTCACTGTTGCGGTTAAGACGTCCTCAGTACCATCTTCAACGTTGAATGATGATGTGAGGCGGGTGTATGCCCAAGATGGTGAGATTGTGAAATTGTTGACACATCTCTCTCAACCATCTCGAGAATCGTTGAAACAGTTATCGTCTGCGTATCGATCTGCATCAGATCGATTGACACATCTCTCTCAACCATCTCGAGAATCGTTGAAACAGTGATCGTCTACGTATCGATCTGCATCAGATCGATGCACTACTCGCAACGGGTTACTGTATTATACAGCCGTTTCTGGTGACACACCACGTGTTGTCATTCCAGATGATACTGATCTGCGTTTGCGGATCATGTTCGAGTATTACGATGCTCCTGTAGGAGGACATCGTGGCCGGGAGAAATCTTATCTCGCGGTGAGTCGAGACTTTTACTGGCCCCGCCAGTATCAGTTTGTGCGAAAGTATGTTCGCGCATGCGAAGTCTGCGAACGAGTGAAGTCAAGTCCTTCACTGCGTGCACCTTTGCAGCCTCTACAAGTTCTGGCAGAGTGCTAAGAATCCATCTCAATGGATTTCTTCTTCGGGTTACCCAAAGACGCACGCGGGAATACGGGCATTCTCGTTTTTGTTGACAGATTCAGCAAAATGGTACACCTTGTGGCTGTACGGGAGTCAATCACGGCAAGTGGCTGTGCTTGTGTCTTTATCGACACCATCTTCCAACTTCATGGGTTGCCCCGTGAACTCGTATCAGACAGAGATCCACGCTTCACTGCTGATTTCCGGCATTCCGTGTTCAAATCACTCGGAACGCGCTTGAAGATATCGACATCTGATCATCGAGAGTCAGATGGTCAGACGGAACGTGCCAATCGTGTCCTTGAAGAGATAATTCGAGGGTACGTACACTCCTTTAAGAGTTGGAGTGAGTTCTTGCCAATGGTAGAGTTTGCCATTAACAACTCGGTGCATGCGTCCACGACACATACACCGTTTTACGTGAATGGCTTGCGCCATCCGCGTGTACCCACCTTACTCGAGTGTAACTCTGGTTTAAGGGGGGGAGAGACTCGCGCGAGCAAAAACCGATTTGGATCACGCTCATCACGCTCTGACGATGAGGTCATTGCGTTTGATGCCGATATCGACAACATCGATATCGAAGAAGATGTTGCCAGTGAGAGTACGGAAGCCCTCACTGAAGAAAAGATTGATGTTGCTGCAGTGCACTCACAGCGCACTGAAGCTAACGAGTCATCAGATGAGTTCATACTGGCTCGTGAAACGGTAGTCCGTTTTGTGCAAGACTCCATCACCGAAGCGGTGGATAAGCAAAAGCAAAACGCTGACAAGAATGGAAGGGTAAACACTCTTTTATTTAGTAAAGGTGACTTAGTCCTACTGTCTACGGTTAATCTACCAAAGCATGTAGTGACTAACTTGGGTAGCAGTAAACTACTACCCAAGTACATTGGCCCATTTCGTGTATTGCACCGCCTAGGCAATGCATACACGATCGAGTTGCCACGTAAGATGCGAACGCATCCCACGTTTTACGTTGGTCGGCTTAAGCCGTACCATCAGTACGCTGCTTCTTCCGATGAAGAACGCCCTTGCGCTCAAGCATCTCGCAGAGAGCCTTGTGCTCCCGATGGTGGGCATCGACAGGTGTCTGAAGAGCACTTATGTCAGCCCGAGAACGGTCAACAATCCCACGAGCTACCCTTATCTCATCACGAAGAGACTTTAGAGCTCTCTCGCTCTCAAGCTGAGCAAAGGCAAACTCAGCTCGATGCTTCAAGACAGTGTCCGCCGTTTGGAGACGCCTGTCCCGCTCATGTTCGATGTCGCCGCATAACCCTTGCGTTACGCGATCAAAGAAGATCTCGGGAACACACGGATCCCCACGATCGTGTGGAGAGCGTCTTTCCTCCTCCTCCACCTCCATTAGAGGACTCTCGCGGTGGCCAGCGCTATCTGGTTGAGCAGCTGTTGAGCCACCGCGACGTGAACGGACGTCGGACGAGTTATCTCGTCCGGTGGCGCGGCTATCCCCCGTCCTGGTGTACTTGGGAGCCCCGCTCCCAACTGATGATCGACGTACTGGGTCTGGTCGAGCAGTACGACGCGGCACATCCTGTGCCGCAGAAGGACCGCTAGAGAAAGTCTTCCCGGCACGGTCGTAAAGGAATTTCAGGTTGTCAATCCCTTCGTACATCTCAGTAGAGATACGTACGCGCCACCACGGGCTAGTAAGGAGGTAAGCCTCCTTAAGTGCTCGTGCAGAGTTGTTCACACAACATGGGCACGAGTCTCCCCATGAGAGGCAGGGTAACCCACCCTTCTTTGACAGACGATGCAGCTTGTAGCATGCACCTGTCGGGGTTCGCTTTTCAAACTTATCACGATCTTTGATAAGTTTGTCGTTCCAAGCGTCACGACCTTCATCCTCAAGGCTATAGATGTAGGCGTTCCACACCTGAAGCAGTGAGGGACCATCACGTTTGTGATTCCCACTGTACCATCGATGTCTAAAGAAAGCATCGATGCAGAAATCATTCTCAGCGCGATAGTTTTCGCGCTGGGGTCAAGGTGATGGATCCTTGACAAATCGAACAATCGTGTTCGAAAACGATCACTCGTCGTTGCCGATAAGTGATCCATGACGGATTTGGGAGGCATTTATGCCTTCTTCTCAGGAGCGAGACGCAAGACATTGCGGTCCCGCTCTTCCTGCGATGTGCCGACAGAAGTACTGGCACCTCGTTGCGAAGTGGTGTCCATAGGAGAACCGACACCACTGTGAGCGCCTGAGTCTCGCGACCTCGAGCGCCTTCGCTTCGGTGATGGTTCATCTGATTCGTCAGATGAACCAAAGATGCTGCGACGCAAAGCATCGTCCATGCCACGCTTGGCAGGCGGCTTGGATTCAATCGCCATCGATACAGATCCGTCTTCCGTATCAGGAGAGTTCGAGACACCGAGCTCGTACTCTGTGAAGACACGAGTGTCTTCATGACCAGCGCCTGCATCACCAAGTGACACAGGCTGGGTCGCTTCAGCAACCGATGAGACATCAGTTGCTGTTGTTTCTGCTTCGGCGTCCGCACAGAGACGTGCGGACGCGCTCTCGGCTGCCTTGCTAGCGCATCGCATGGGATTATTAACCATGCGATGAAATGTTGAAAAGTGGACTCAGACCAACAAGTGCAAACCCTGTCCCAAATAATTTGGGACGAGTATCCATTTAGTCAATCAGTCACTAAAGTGACTGATGGTTAAGGGGGGGTGATGTAACGGGGTGAATCGTTACATAACAATTTATTAGAAGCTGTTAGTAGAATATAACTAAAAGAGTTACATTCTCAGAATATTGTCGTGAGGACAATATTCTGTAGCACTTACGAGTATTTCCTGATTGGTTGATATAGGCCATTATATCAACCAACGAAGACGCGCCACGACAGACGCACGCAATGAGTGGTGAGCAGATAATTGATTTACACATTTGTATTTAGACATAGTTAGATGAAGATAAATAGTGATTTATTGCAGACATTAACTATGCTAAATACAGTTCTACATTTTACTTTAACCAAGTACTCGCTTCTTCTTACCGTCTTCCTCTGCACGTACGAGTGTACGTGAAGTTACGAGGCACCGCCTTATTCTGTCATCAGAATAAGTAGCTTGTACTGTCACCAGTACAAGCTTCAGGGTGCCCCGTTACACTATAGATGAAACCATACATTTTGTCCGTCAATTTTCATTTTTGTTTATTCTTAGTTTAAACAGTAAATACATTTTTTGTCTACAACATTTGACGTAATTTTGGTTGACATAAAGCGAAGGTTTATTTGTTGTGAAAAAGACATCGTATGTCAACAAAAATCAATTGCTATGGTAAAATAGCCGTAGCACTGCTGCGACCGAACGCACAATTAAATTGATAAAGTTGTCCCTACTTAACTGTCATCGGTTCAATTTGGCTGAGCATATAAAAAGCATTCGTGATAACTAATAACGCAAGTGTCAGGATAGTGAGCTGGTTGTTAAGCCCTATCACGCTTGGCCCTGATTAAACCAAACGTTGCTGCAGATTAGATTGTCACATAGCAAACATTAATATCCGAACCAAATAGCCACAGCAAGGGACACGTGCATGGTCAAGCCGTTTGTCATCCAAATCGTAGAAAATCGAAGGCCGGCATTATGTGAACTCGATAGAACATGGTTATCACCTCAAATGCGCTTCCTGCCCTCAAGAGTGACGACTGGCAGATTTGCTGCGAGGCGGAAGATAGTCGACCAGACAATCTTCCAAACTATTACTGGCACTGCGTCGAAAAAAACTCGGTGACATTTGAAGTGCAGGTGAATGACACCTAAAGGGACCACGGAAGGATCACCTGGCGAGGCATCCGATTACAACAATACGGTCAGTGACGATCGAAGCAGTTACGTGTGGCTCTCCGTGATCTCGGCACATAAAAAAGCGCACAGAATCACCGTGGTGCCAAGCGTTAGGAGGTATGCGGATGTAAACAAGGCGACGACTTGTTGCTAGCAGTTCGTTGTCTGCACAAAACCTGGGCTTGTTTTCTGCTGTGAGAGTCGAGCCTCACTTTCACTCCAGGGGTGCTTTGTCACTAATCTGAGGCTAGTAATTAATAGCCAGCGTAATTAGTATACGTGAACTGACTAGATATTCAGTCGCGAGTGTGTAGAAATCGACACCACAAGTAAATACGTGGGCCAGAAAGCCCTTTCAGCCACACGAACCGAATGTTTCGTTGGGTAGCGACACTCAAGCTTTTACCGGTGCGCTCGCACTCTGAAATACCAACATGGCTGTTGCTATGGTGTTGATGCTTCGTGCCGCCTGCACGTTAGCTCTTGCGCTAGCTGATTCTCGGGTGATGATTGGTTCCATGTACACCGCGAAGCAAGGTCTGAATGACCTGGCCAAGACGGCCTGGAATGAAAGGGGAGGCAAATACATGGGTACAGCTACAGACGTCAAGCAGTTGAGCGACCCATACTACGTCGTCGGGGTGAACAACACGCATGATTTTGGGATGATAACCCCGACGAAAGCAATGGAGGTAGTTTCATTTTCATGCATGCTTTGCATGGAGCAATCTGTTCTTGCTCACAGAAAACCTGTTCTTAGTGGAATGCCACGGAATTTAAGCCTGGCGTTTTTACGTATGCAGATGCCGACAAAATTGTAGCTTTTGCAAATGAGACAGGGTCTCAAGTCCGATGCCACGCTCTAGTTTCGGTACGTGCACCTTCGAGAACGAGAAAAACAAATGGTGTTGACCATACTGACTCGAATATAACTTACTTACTGTACACAGCAAGAACACATTCCAGAATGGGTGCAAGGGCTCGAGAAGGCGGAGCTTATGGCAGCACTGTCTAGCCATATTACCCACGTTATGACGCACTTTGGGAATTCATGCTATGCCTGGGATGTCGTCGATGAGGCCATCAATGCAGACGGGTCGTACCGCCAATCGTTTTGGTACAAGAAAACTGGCAAGGACTACATTTCGGTCGCGTTCGAGACCGCTAATGCTGTGAAACTAAAGCTAGGCCTCAAGACTCGACTGTACTACAACGATCACGGCATCAATGTTGTCAACAACAAGTCAGACGCAGTGCTGGAGATGGTAACAATTTTAAGGTCCAAGCGTATTTGGGTTGACGGCGTGGGGTTTCAGTCGCATTACAGCAACAACGACTCGGTGGTGGGTGCCGACATTTTCAACAATTTTCGACGTTTTACAACCCAGCGCATGGATGTCGCAATCACCGAACTTGACGTCATGACTAGCACAGCTGCTCCAACGGTGAGAGAGCAGCAGCAGCAGGTAGGAATATACACCAACGTCGTATCGGCTTGCAAAAAAACGATGCGATGCGTCGGCGTCACGATCTGGGACTTTGTCGATACTTACTCGTGGCACACGTCGTCAGCCCCGCTACTGTTCTACCAGCCTAGTGGACCCAATACGCCTCTAGAGCGGAAGGCAACGTATGACGCCATTACGGCGGGATGGATGTTGTAAGTTGGTGTCGTTCGTTTAAGTGATGAATGCAATGTACCGAAGATCAGCTTGATAATGTGCATTGAGAGTTGAGACCCGCAACATCGAGCAGCTATTCAACGATCTGACATCATTGTGTAAGCTACTGGTGCACGAATTCAATGTGGAGATCGATGGCTTGCTACGGACATGACGCAACTTCCTAAGAGCTACAGCTGTTTTAGGCACGGCGACTCATTCAGCCTTGAGCTTGTTTTGAGCGCCAGTGGCGATGTGAGCATCGCTTTCTGTTCTGTCGTACACCAATTCTTATATTAGCATCAACGCAGGACGCATCCTACCCTAGACGCCCTACCGCTTCGCAAGCTCTTTATTGTGTATTCCCTTCTTTCAGTTCTGAAGAGCAAGGCTGGTACGATGAGGACGTAGAGCACCAACGACTACATCCAAAGCACTGTGCAATTACACCTCGTGGCAACGGGTACCATAAACAATGGCATTGACCCATCGCGGATTAATGTACCAAGTTGGTGGTAAAGGACCCAATGCTAGTGAAGCTTCTGACATGTTAACAATCGTTGCCTTGTAGTACAGTTGATAGTCAAATGAACAGAAGAACGCAGCAGCGACGATATCCAGAACCCATTCTGGCACTGAATGAAGCCTAAAAAATCAAAGACGTGAAGTCCCGCACAAACAAGCTAGCAAACTCTTGATCCAAAACAAATGCCGAAGCAAGCACCCGAGACAAAAAAACGCAGGCCCAGTATTCAAATGTAACAATCTGATTGTTGTGATGACATCTACTCGCCACTTGGCCACGCGCCTCAGTCAGCCAGCCCACAAAGGTATCAAATCGTGATGAACTTTTTGTAGGCATTAGCTAGTGCAGTGGACTCTCAATGACAAAGTAGCGCTTCGACACTAAATGGGGTTCGTGATAGCGCACGAGTCCGACTTTGCGGCATTCTGCAGGTGCAACAATATGCCAGCTTCAATCGGTTGGCTCAAGACTCTGCGCTTGGTTACCATATCGATGCCCAGCGTGGTAGTTTACCTCGTCTTTGCGAACGTCAGTTAGGGACGCGAAGTGATCGAACTGGGCGCAGCCTGTGGCCTCGTGGCTGCGTCACCGGATGCTAAAACAGTCGTTTCGCCACCTCTGGGCTCGAAACGAAGCTAGGGGTGCGGACCACCAATTGCGTCGAGCGCAGAGCTCGAGTCCATGGCGCCATTTGCACACAAGTCCGACACTATGTTGGACAGTGAGGCCACGCAGCTGGGGCGAGATCCCCACGTTCTGCTGCTTGAAACAATTCGCGGCGTTCTCCGACCAAAAACCACGTCTGTGGCACTCTTTCTCGGTGGATCCGTGCCGAGCTGCTTGTGCAGGAACGTGCGACCTGAAGAACTGTCCAGCTATGCACGTTGTGGTTGCAGCAACGATTCACGGTCTACAAACACGCCTCGGTACATTTGGCGTCTCGCAAGGTCGTAGGCACGTTAGTGGGTGCATTAGATCGACCTCTGCACGTCCATGAAGAAGACTATAGCGTTGTATCTGAGCTGCGACTTGACCATGCAGATCAAGAAAAGATTGTTGCGCAACGTTCACTGCGTTTCAGTATGGTCGAGTCAGTGTCGTTGGAAAAACCGTGGAAAAAGACGCCTGTTCAACCCAATGCCGCCTCTTGTGGTGATCCGCAGCGGCTGCCAACACGTCGAGTACCTGGAGAATCGCACCCCTTGGCGCCGTACGTCCCAAAGCGGTTGCTCCAATGAAGAAGACGACAAAGCTACTGAAGACGATGAAATGGGGCGTCAAGTTGAAGAAACGTGGACCAGGATCAGTGGTGACTTCTGTGGCGGCGTCAGCAAAGCGTTCGGGTTCTCGCGCGAGCGATGCGACGTGGAAGATATGCACGCCTTCCGCTGTGCTGAGTGCGGCAATACGGTGGCAGACCATGATGACGTTATCGCTAAGACGTTCTTTGGACGCACTGGCAAGGCCTTCCTTATGAACAACATGTACGTCTCAACAGTTCGAGATGAGGATGACTGCTCGTGCATTTCTGAGTCGGTAATGATCCTGTTCTGCGGCAAAGGTATAACGTGCGCATCGGCTCGAGTCGCAAGTGCTACCTGAGGACTGGATTCCACTCCATTGCTGACGTCCTGTGCGGTCAATGTGATTTCGTGTTGGGCTGGAAATACGTAAGTCGGCAATCGATCTCCTGCTCTTGTCTAACTGGCATCTCGAATGTCTAACTTGTAACTGCGTCGTACGATGACTTGACCAGATTAAAGCCATGGAGAGCTCGCAGAAGTACAAAGAAGGCAAGTATATCATGGAGCATGCTGTCGTTGAGGATGATGCGGAAGAGCTGAACTGGGACCGCCTGTAAATCATTGTAGCTCACCTCGTCGGTCTCCGACTAAGCCTCGGTACATTTGTTTGTACGTCCAGCGTACCAAGATCAAGATTGCGAGTACCTAGTGGAAATGTAAATGGAGCGGATGAATGTTATCCTTGGTGACGAGCATATCGACTAGCTGTTTCTCTTTTCTCCCACTCTTCTCTGACCTAGCGCACCGGATAACGATGGAGTGAAGAAGTCATCCATCCTTACGTCGTAACTATCAACCGTGGACGGTAAATATTCGAAGGTGACATCCATACGAACCAGGGTTCGAGATGGAGGTAAGATCAGCTGGTACATCCAAACAAACATATTACCACCTGTTTGCCTACGTGTCGTCTCCACGTAGTAGCAAGACGACGCATTCGTGTCCTAACGAACGATCGCACATAATGTCGCGCTTCTGCACGCTTTTCGGCCCCCTGACTATAGCTGCTCAAGGCCGCGTCCCTCTTGCAATCAGGTGAATCCATTGGTCTGAAAGCCACAACACATAAACAGAATCAACAACGTGCGAGGACGTCGTAATCTACGTAAAACACTCCAATAACCCTCAACCTATCATAGTGCATATTTGCGTCATTAGCCTTCATTCCACAACATCTCCCATGGCTGCAAGCACGTACCCTCCTGCCGGCTCCTGCATGGAGCTCCTACTAGCTGACGACAAGGACGCAGTCTACACCAATGAGCTCCAGCAATCTCTCGGTGAGGTGGTGGAGCGCTTCTGCGGGGCGCACGTGCTGTCGCAACTGCTGCCGGAGTTGTCTGCAGTGGCCACGTTGCTGTATGGCGCCCTGTCCATCGGCGTGCAGCAGCCACGTCAGACGCTAGGCGAAGAGTTTTGCAGCATCGTCCGCGTGGCAAAGTCTCGTTCGAATCACGTCGAGTCGGTGGGGAGTCAGCGCCATGTACTGTCGCTCGCGTGTACGGTGCTGCCATCGTACCTGGTCGCGCGGTCGCAGAGCGGCTGGAACAACTTGAGTCAGCTCACGCGCACGCCGCGGGAACGCATGGAGCAGCAAATTCGATGCCGACGAGAAGCGGAAGTGGCAGACACAGTGAATGGAGGCGGCGTGCGGGGACCGCTGTTGGAACGTAACATGACGATTGGGTCGAACGTGCAAAGATTGCTTCGTCGACTTGACTGGTTCGTGTCGAAACTGAAAGCGATGCGCGTCTGGCTGGAAAGTGAAGCTGGAGCGGCATCATGTGGATTCAATTTGGACTGTTTGCAGCAGTGGGGAGCTGATGCACACCTCGCGGCATTTTACGTTTTTGCACAGTACTTACACGTGTCGAAGCGGATTGCCCACGTCCAGTACGTGTTTGTACGCAAAGACGTGATGCCTGGTCTGAATCTGTCCGTTCTTGGATACATAATGTCGCTGCGGCTGTTTGCCACGGCAGTTATTGAGCTCAAGCGGCTGCACGGGCATTACAGGCAAAAGATGAAGCAGAGGCAGAAGCAGCAGGCAGAATCAGCTACCACTGCCTTCGTATCTGTAACTGTTCAGTTCGCAAGAGTTCCCACGTCAGTTGTGCCAGCAAAAGTGACCTCAAGTTCTTGTCAGCGCCGAATGGGACACGGGGATGCCGACAACTCTCGACGACCTCGTCGTAAATGTGCTCTTTGTCTAAGTGAGCTCGTTTCCCCTGCTGCTACCGTGTGTGGTCACATATTTTGTTGGGATTGCATTGTGGGCTGGTGCCAGAAGGTTAAATCGGAATGTCCTATGTGCCGCCAAGAAACACAACCTCAACAAATCAAATGTGTGTACAATTATGCTTGATAAAGTCATCCGCAGGTATGACAGTTCCAACTTCAGGCATAATCACGTGACAAAAGCGTACCAAATACTACATTGTTCTTGTTCATGCTGACACCGTCCAGCTATTTTTTTCGCTGGCGCTTGTTCTTCTTGCTCTTTGACGCAGAAGCCGCCCGATTCCCGTTGCCTATTGTCTGCACGTGCACTTTGACGCCATCCTGAACATTCTCCTTTGCCTTCACGGCGTCGACGTACACTTGGTCCGTGCTTAGCGCGTTGTGGATAAAACGCTTTGAAGCGCCCTTATCCAGCGCCATTCTTGGCCCCTTTGCCAGCTCTTCCGCGTCCTTTATCTTGTTGATAAACGTTTTCACACGCTCCTATGGTGACCACACGACTCTTTAGTTAGCAACGACTTCACGTGTTTAGCAGCGTCGGCCGTACCAACTCTTGCTTGACGTGCGTCTGACGAATGTCGCTAGGAGACACTCCCTGTGTCTTTAGAAACACGAATAGGAGCGCATTGATTGTGTAGGCTGGTACCATAGACAATTTATGATTAGAAACCTCACGTTGAATAAAGAGCTGTCGGTCAGCGCGTTACGAGACGTACCCAAAGAAACCTGCACCTTCGCGCGCTCGAGATAGCTAAGGGGAGCAACAAACTCCTCTACAGAAGTCTTTGAAAACACGGCCAGATGCTCCTCCGCAGCTGCTAGCGTCTGCTCCACGCTGGCAAAGACTTCCGGCACTTGCTTGTTCATGGTTTGGTGGTGTCCAATGCTGTAGGCATAAAATCGTGGAGGTTCTTGTGCTAACCGTTTTTATCTGTAATTTAGAGTTTATCGCAATATAGTAGAATCAATCACTAATAAAATTATTTTTAAATTATAACTAAATTTAAAGAATCCACCCACCAGGTTTTCTTCGACGGAAATTGCGAAACGGCGCAGGTTCATTCTTTATTATTAAGTAACATTTACAAGCATGTTGAAGATACGCTTGAGTAATCAGTTTCCTGTTTAAATGACTTTTGGTGACCGCCCCCGCCAAAAGTTTTTTTTTCGTAGTATCTCTTGCGATCAGGCACTAAGTGTATGCATGAGAGAAGCGTGGATGCTTGGCCCCGTGAGGTGAAGATTTAGCGTAACGAGCTGAAACATTACAAGAAAGTCATCACTGATGAAGAGCTCGCCGAGATCACTTTGACCAATAAATTAACAGACAGATCACGAAGTGGATTAGGCAACATGCTAAACAATTTGACCTTAGGATTTTACGCTTGGCTCCGTCGTTGGCACAAGTGATCAATGCTCTTCCAGCAGAGTCGGAGTTGGATGCCCGAGGTAGTGAGTCACAATTAACAAATTCATGTTCTGCTTAAACTGATAAGAAGCGAAACAAACAGCTGGCACCCAAAAACAATCGTCAACACTGGACGGTATAGAACGAGGTCTAAGTCACGATACGGCCCGTGGCAACCACAATTAAAATTTGGGTGAATTTTCTGGCAACAAAATTACTGCGAAGGTGTATCAGGGAGAAAATTTAGAATGCTAGAGATAACACGATAATGACCGTATATAGCGATATTGCACACAGCCGAAGAGCGAGAAAGATGATCCGAGTCGCAACGTCCGGATCGAAAACTATGGGAAAATGAAAAGCAGACGAAAGGCGAGTTTTGTAACGGGGCACCCTGAAGCTTTTACTACTGACAGTACAAGCTACTTATTCTGACGACAGAATAAGGCGGTGCCTCGGAACTTCACGTACACTCGTACGTGCAGAGGAAGACGGTAGGAAGAAGCGAGTACTTGGTTAAAGTAAAAAGTAGAACTGCATTTATAATAGTTAATGTCTGTTAATAAACCACTGTTTATCTTCATCTAACTATGTCTAAATACAAATGTGTAAACCAACTATCTGCTCACCACTCATTGCGTGCGTCTGTCGTGGCGCGTCTTCGTTGGTTGATATAATGGCCTGTATCAACCAATTAGGAACTACTCGTAAGTGCTACAGAATATTTGTCCTTATGACAAAATTCTGAGAATAAAACTCTTTTAATTATGTTCTATTAACAACTTCTTATAAAATGTTATGTAAGGGCTCACCCCGTTACATCACCCCCCCCCCTTAACCATCAGTCACTTTAGTGACTGATTGACTAAATGGATACTCGTCCCAAATTATTTGGGATAGGGTCTGCCCTTGTTGGTCCGAGTCCACTTTCCAACAGTTCATCGCATGGTTAACAAGCCCATGCGGTGCGCAAGCAAGGCCGCCGAGAGCGCGTCCGCACGTCTCTGTGCGGACGCCGAAGCATAAACCACAGCAACTGATGTCTCATCGGTTGCTGAAGCGACTCAGCCTGTGTCACCTGGTGATGCAGGCGCTCGTCATGAAGACACTCATGTCTTCACAGAGTACGAGTTCGGTGTCTCATACTCTCCTGATACGGAAGACGGATCCGTATCGACGGCGATCGAAACCAAGCCGCCTGTCAAGCGTGGCATGGATGATGCTATGCATCGTAGCATCTTTGGTTCCTGATGAATCAGATCGCCGAAGCGAAGACGCTCAAAGTCGCAAGACTCGGGCGCTAACAGTGGTGTCGGTTCTCCTATTGACACCACTTCGCAGCGAGGTGTCAGTACTTCTGTCGGCACGTCGCAAGAAGAGCGGGACCGCAGTATGTTACGTCTCTCTCCCGAGAAGAAGGCATGGATGACTCCAAAATCCGTCATGGATCACTTGTCGGCGAAGACGAGTGATCGTAATCGAACACGATTGTTCGATTCGTCAAGAATCCATCACCTTGACCCCGGTGCGAAAAACTATCGCGCTGAGAATCATTTCTTCATCGATGCTTTCTTTAGACATCGATGGTACAGTGGGAATCACAAACGTGATGGTCCCTCACTACTTCAGGCGTGGAACGCCTACATTCATAACCTTGAGGATGTAGGTCGTGACGTTTGGAGCGACAAACTTATCAAAGCTCGTGATAAGTTTGAAAAGCGAACCCCGACAGGTGCACGCTACAAGCTGCATCGTCTGTCAAGGGAGAAGGGATTACCCTGCCTCTCTTGGAGAGACTCGTGCCTGTGTTTTGTGAACAACTCTGCACGAGCACCTAAGGAGGCTTACCTTTCTAATAGCCCATGGCGGCGCGTACGTATCTCTAGTGAGATGTACGAAGGGATTGACAGCTTGAAATCCCTTTACGACCGTGCCGGGAAGACTTTCTACGGCGGTCCTTCTGCGGCACAGGATGTGCCGCGTCGTACTGCTCAACCAGACCCAGTACGTCGATCATCAGTTGGGAGCGGGGCTCCCAAGAATCCCAGGACGGGGGATAGCCGCGCCACCGGACGAGATAACTCGTCCGACGTCCGTTCACGTCGCGGTGGTTCAACATCTGCTCAACTAGATAGCGCTGGCCACCGCGAGAGTCCTCTAATGGAGGTGGAGGAGGAGGAAAAACGCTTTCTACACTATCTTGGGGAAGCGTGTGTTTCCGAGAGCTTCTTTGATCGCGTAACGCAAGGGTTACGCGACGATCTCGAACATGAGCGGGACAGGCGTCTCCAAATGGGTGACACTGTCTTGAAGCATCGAGCTGAGTTTGCCTTTGCTCAGCTTGAGAACAAGAGAGCTCTAAAGTCTCTGCGTGACGAGCTAAGGGCAGCTCGTGGGGATGTTGATCGGTCTCGGGCTGAGATAACTGCCCTTCAGACCCTTGTCGATGCCCACCATCGGGATCACAAGGCTCTCTGCGAGATGCTTGAGCGCAAGGGCGTTCTTCATCGGAAGAAACAACGTACTGATGGTACAGCTTAAGCCGACCAACGTAAAACGTGAGATGCGTTCGCATCTTACGTGGCAACTTGATCGTGCATGCATTGCATAGGCGGTGCAATACACGAAATGGGCCGATGTACTTGGGTGGAAGTTTACTACTACCCAAGTTAGTCACTACATGCTTTGGTAGGTTAACCGTAGACAGTAGGACTAAGTCACCTTTACTAAATAAAAGAGTGTTTGCCCTTCCATTCTTGTCAGCGTTTTGCTTTTGCTTATCCACCGCTTCGGCGATGGAGTCTTGCACGAAACGGACTACCGTTTCACGAGCCAGTATGAACTCATCTGATGACTCGTTAGCTTCAGTGCGCTGTGAGCGCACTGCAGCATCATTAACCTTTTCTTCAATGAGGGCTTCTGCACTCTCACTGGCATCATATTCTTCGATATCGATGATATCGATGTCGGCATCAAACGCAATGACCTCTTCGTCAGAGCGTGATGAGCGTGAACCAAATCACTTTTTGACGCGCGAGTCTCCTCCCCCTGAAACCAGAGTTACACTCTAGTAAGGTGGGTACACGCGGATGGCGTTAGCCATTCATGTAAAACGGTGTATGTGTCGTGTACGCATGCATCGAGTTGTTAATGGCAAACTCTACCATTGGCAAGAACTCACTCCAACTCTTAAAGGAGTGTACGTATCCTCGAAGTATCTCTTCAAGGACACGATTGGCACGTTCCGTCTGACCATCTGACTCTGGATGATCAGATGTCGACATCTTCAAGCGCGTTCCGAGTGATTTGAACACGGAACACCAGAAATCAGCAGTGAATCGTGGATCTCTGTCTGATACGAGTTCACGGGGCAACTTATGAAGTCGGAAGATGGTGTCAGTAAAGACACAAGCACAGCCACTTGCCGTGATTGACTCTGGTACAGCCACAAGGTGTACCATTTTGCTGAATCTGTCAACAAATACGAGAATACCCGTATTCCCGCGTGCGTCTTTGGGTAACCCGAAGACAAAATCCATTGAGATGGATTCTTAGCACTCAGCCGGAACCGGTAGAGGCTGTAAAGGTGCACGTAGTGAAGGACTTGACTTCACTCGTTGACAGACTTCGCATTCGCGAACATACTTTCGCACAAACTGATACTGGCGGGGCCAGTAAAAGGCTCGACTCACCGTGAGATATGATTTCTCCCGGCCACGATGTCCTCCTATAGGAGCATCGTGATACTCGAACATGATCCGCAAACGCAGATCAGCATCATCTGGAATGACAACACGTGGTATGTCACCAGAAACGGCTGTATAATACAGTAATCCGTTACGAGTAGTGCATCGATCTGATGCAGATCGATACGCAGACGATAATTGTTTCAACGATTCTCGAGATGGTTGAGAGAGATGTGTCAACAACTTCACAATTTCACCATCTTGGGCGTATGCCCGCCTCACATCATTATGCAACGTTGAAGATGGTACTGAGAACGTCATAACCGCAACAGTGGCTGTCTCGCTGTTGGGTATCACGACTGGTTTAAAGTCGGGCCGACGTGAGAGTGCATCAGCGACGACATTAAGTCGTCCTGGTTTGTACTCGACCGTAAAGTTGTATTCTGCAAAGAATGACAACCACCGCGCCATTCGTTGTGAAAGGTGCGGGCTGTTCACTGCCGTGCGTAATGACGCATGGTCAGTGTAAACAATGAAGGGTCTATCTCCTAATAGATAGACTCTGAACTTTGCGAGTGCATACTTTATGGCAAGGAGTTCCTTGTCGTGCACTGGATAGTTCCGCTCAGCTGGTTGCAGCTGACGCGACTGATAGCAGACGGCGCGTTCAACGCCTTCAAGGTCGTACTGCATGAATGTACAGCCGATTGCAAAATTGATGGCATCACAGACCACATGAATTGCCTGTCCTGATCGGCTATTGCTAGGACTAGGGATTACATCAAGCTCTGCTTGATACCATCAAAGGAGCGCTGACATTCAGCGTTCCATAACCACCTCTCGTTCTTTTTCAACAAACGAGAGAGGTGCACAGTCATCTCGGCGTAATTGCGTGAATACTTGTGCAAATACGCCGCTAGCCCGAGGAATTTTCGAAGACCTTTGACATCAACCGGCACAGGCCAGTCGGTGATCGCCTTGATCTTTTCGGGATCAGGACGTACACCGTTCTTACCAACGATGCACCCAAGAAGTGGTATTTCGCTTGCTGCAAATATACACTTCTTGAGGTTTGCATACAATTGATGCTTTCGCATGATTGTAAGAACCTGTCGGACGTGGTACCTGTGAACCTCAACGTCCGACTTTCCATCCATAGCCCGACTATGGATGAATACGTCATCGAAATAACTCGGCGCGAATTCGCGTACTGGTCTCAATAGATGTGATACACATCTGTTGAACGTGGCAGGGGCATTACTGAGCCCTTGTGGCATTACTAGCCATTCCCAGAGCATGCCGCTAGGCGTGCTAACTGCGGTATAGGGTATATCCCGCTCTCGCGTCAGGATTTGATAGAAGCCATCCATCAAATCCATGGACGAAAAGATGGTACTCTTTGACATACCATCAATGATTACGTCCTTCATGGGTATCGGCGTCTGAGCCGGTACCGTTGCAACATTCAACTTGTTAAATGCATGCACAATCCGCCACCCTCCTGTTGCTTTTCGCACACAGAAGCTCGGAGAGCTATGTGGGGAAGTTGATTCCCTCACGAGGCCCGCAGCTAAACGATCGGCAAAGAACTTGTCGATCGCAAGTACTTGTTCACGAGGCAGTGGCCACTGCTTCATGACACAGTACTTCGAGCCTGGTTTAAGCTCGAACTCGTGTCGAATACCTTTTCTCTTCGGTAATTCGCACGGAACAGTTTCAGGGAATACATCCTTGAATTCAACTAAATCATCATAGAGAGAATTTGTCTCGAGCGATTCCCACAATTGGGAGTCATATCGCTCAACTCGTGCGTTTTATCGAGGACACTCTCGTCCATCGATGAACTACTGAGAACTCTCTCGTTCTCAATAAACACTGTTGCTGACCTTATGTCGGTTACACACTCGTCGTCAGCGACGAGCACACAGATCTGCTTGACTTTGCCACTACGCAGATCACGCAAGAACCTTTTATGTTCGAGCGTTGGCAACTGAGTGATCTCCAAAGTCATCTTCGGAGGCGCAATCAGATCAAGTGCATAAGCGCCTACACTTGATCCGTTATTGACTATGACATTCAATGTCTCTGTCATTTCCTGGGGACTTATTCCCTCAGGCCTCGAAAAACTGATTCTTTCGGCTTCCCGAGGAATAATTTCCGCGGGTTTCGAGGAACCTATTTCCGCCGTATTTTTAATATCGGGACTTATTCCCTTAACTTCCTCTAGCTGTGGTTGCGCAACCACAGCGAGATCTTTTACGAAAGACTCTCCAGTCGATCTAGGATTATTGTTTCGCTTAACCTGAGAGATCGATCGTTTCTCTTCTAGATGTTCCCCGCTAGGCATACATATTTGTCCCGGTCCACTCGACTTATTCGAGTGGTGGACCTTCGGCGCAGCCTGTGTTTCCTCACAGCCACCGGAACTTTGCTCCGAAGTGTAACTGTTTGTTACACTAAGGTTTTGTGCAGTCGTACTAACGACCGTACCACAAGTGAGGCCATCGCACTCACTCGTAGTACATCCACACGCTTGTGGACGCTCCAAAACGTTCATCAGATGGCCATCTGATGAACAAGCGGCAGGCATCGTTACTGTTCGATGTTGTCAGTTTACCCGTGGTTCGTACCTTCTGAGCCACGGTATTCCAAGGATGACATCAAATTTGTCATCCAAATCCAATACGATAAAGTCATCGTCATGTTGGGTATCTTCTAGCGTATAGTGGATCTTCACTATACGTTTCATGACGGTTGCGAATGCGGCTGTCGCAAGACGTACCGTCATCCTCGTAGGAGGTGTGTCACATTCACTGAGCTTGAAGTGACCATCTTCCAGCGATTGGCGTCGCACAAAATTGTTGGACGCCCCACAATCGACTAGAGCTCGAAGGGACAACTTATTTGTCACTTCGAGTTTCAAGGTAATGAGTGAGACCTCATTACCTAGAGCAGCAACGCACAACGTTTGTGTGTTGGGAGCAACCTTCATCAAGAGGCCTACAAATTCTCTTGACGTTGCTGGACCAGTAGGGTGCTCCGCACCTACTGATCCTGTCCGTTTTTTGACGGTCCATCCCGTTGTTACGTCTTTGCACCAACAGCGGACCCGCGTCCCTGCCCCTTTCTCATGGGTGGACGGTCACTACACCCAGTGTTGCGAGACACTGGACGAGGGGCACTACACTCGTAAGCGTAGTGTCCTGTCTTTTGACATCTGTTGCATCTCTGCAACTTCTTGTAGTCTGTAGAGCGAACCTTCTCGCTATCTACATAACAGAGTTCCATCGGCTCTGGACCTCCGCTGTCATACCGTCTCGGTTGACGATATGATGTCGAGCTGGCGCGAGCCTGTCTCAGACTGAAGTCTTCCTGCTCCGCAATGGAAATGGCTTGTTCTAGTGAATCTAGTTCAAGCCGGAACAGGTGAGTCTTGACGGGACCATCCGCAAGACCCTGCATGAACACCGAACCCAACGTGTGCTCATCCACCGGATTGGAATTTATACAACTTGTGAGATGTCGTTAATGTTGCGCGTAAGCGTGCACGTCACGCTTACCTTGTTTGAGCTTCAAAAGTTCAGTTCGAGCTCTGAACTCAGCTCTAGGCGGTTCAAACGTTTGTCTGAGCCGCGATTTGAAGACTTCCAACGACCCAAACTCATATGGGTCGTGCAACTTGAGCCCCAGTGCACAAGTCTTGGCACGTCCTGCCAGAGTTGACTGGGCAAATGCAACTTGCATATCCCCGTCGTCGATGCGACGCGCCCTTATGGCGTCATCCAATTTGACGAACCATCTCAAGAGGGAGTCCTCTTCGACTCCCCTATACTTAGAGATATCAATCTTCAAAGTCTCGGGTCGACGCGAGTGCATCGACCCGCCAGCAGCAGCCTGCTGCTATCTCAACAGTTCAAACTGTTGAGCACCTTGTTCTCTCAACAACTCTGCTTGTTGAGAACCTTGTTGGTGAAGCAAGACTACTTTCTCGCGTTCGGCGTCAAGTTCATTTTGAATGAACTTGGCGATAGTGACATGTTGGGCATCTCTATTGAGAGCCTCTAGCATGACGCTAACAGCATGGATGCCCATGGTTGAACTCATCTGTTCAAACGCATCCCATTCGACATCGCTCGAATGGGAGTAGCCGTCACGCGTAGCACGAAAGCTTTGGTCATCTTCATCATCCAACATGTTCATGTTAGATGTGAGCGTGGTCCTTGGACGGACTACGAAGTGCTACCAGGTGTAACGGGGCACCCTGAAGCTTGTACTACTGACAGTACAAGCTACTTATTCTGACGACAGAATAAGGCGGTGCCTCGGAACTCCACGCACACTCGTACGTGCAGAGGAAGACGGTAGGAAGAAGCGAGTACTTGGTTAAAGTAAAAAGTAGAACTGCATTTATAATAGTTAATGTCTGTTAATAAATCACTGTTTATCTTCATCTAACTATGTCTAAATACAAATATGTATCTCAACTATCTGCTCACCACTCATTGCGTGCGTCTGTCGTGGCGCGTCTTCGTTGGTTGATATAATGGCCTGTATCAACCAAATAGGAACTACTCGTAAGTGCTACAGAATATTTGTCCTTATGACAAAATTCTGAGAATGTAACTCTCGTAGTAATATTCTATTACCAATTTCTCATAAATTGTTATGTAACGATTCACCCCGTTACAAGTTTAGTACAGCGAAAAATTACCATGCCGTCGCGTCAAGCGGGTGATACGATCAACGCGGCACGAAGTATAGAATTAATATGACCATTAAGTGGGTACTTGACTCCGCATGTGATAGTCATGTGAGCAGGCGATTCTGAAATTGAGACAGGATGATATTCCGATGGTGTTTAATTCGGAAGATAAAACTTCCAAGTACACGAAACATATTGGAGACATGGAACTACGAGTAAATAATGCCAACCCCAATCAGGATATTGTACCGCTCACTAAAATAAAGGGGCTTTTCACACCGACTGAAACGAATGATCTTTGGAGCTTGGAAGACTGGAGCAAGATGGATTGGACTTTATCACCTCAGCAAGCAGCAATATGCTGGCTTGGAAGGGTAATTCGATATAGAAGTTCGTAAATGCTCGTAATTCTTATAGTCTCACGTCCACAGCCGTCCCTGAGAGTCGCGTGACGTATCTTTCACGTGCCAATGAGCAAGTTTTTTTTTATCGTTTGAACATGCTCGCCTTGTTCATGTAAATTACGATACTTTGCAACGGATGATAAGAAACAAGACAGCGCATGGATTGGCGCTGACTGGTAACATGAGTGCACCGATGAATTGATGCTGCATATGGATACAGTCACGTAAGCAATGCATGTCGTACAAGAATGTAGTGACTATAAGGTCGACATTACCATTGCTGAAGCTGATGTCCGAAATGGTGTGAGTACCTTGACGGGTGTCAACACTTTCAGCTCATCCAAGATGAGGCTACACGTTAAGTATGGGGATTCTTACTAAAGTCAAAAGAGGAAGCTAATGATGTACTCATGTGAAACATGACTTATTGCACGAGTCCTCACATCTTAGTACTTTGTACTGACCAAGGAAGGGAGCTTGTTAACCGACAATCAAAGCAGTTCCTTCACCGAAACAGAGTGGTGTTTTGTGGAAGAATGCGTATAGCCCTGAAGTGAATGGATTAGTTGAGCGGATGAACTGCACCGATATGTCCCATGTACGCAGGTTGCTTACAACTGTGGTCATGCCGTATCTGTTGTGCGAAGGATCGTTTGCATTTGCCATGAAGCTGATAAATATCTTTCCTGATAAAGATTTGGACAGAAAACACCATGTAATTGAGAGTATGGCAGACGTCCGAATCTACGGACATGGGGTTGTTAGATGCTTGTTTCACACACAAAAATTAAGGAGAAATAAACTGGAAGATATCAGTAAGCCGTCAATTTTTGTTGACTACGCATACGACTCGATTAGCTATCGCATTATGGATGCGCGTTCGTGTGCCATAAATGAGTTTAAATTTGTAGAGTTCGTTGAGCAGTAAACAAGTGGGAGAAAGTGTATCGAAAATCTTCCGTGAAATTAAAATAGTAGCTTCAAGTTCACTCTATCTTCCACGACATCGTATGGTTGCGTGAAAATTTTTGACTGCACCGGCTGCTGCAATAGATGTTGATACGACTGATGACATAGTGCATCGTCACATGAGGTGTTGTCGTAATGATTTGTGAGACCCATGGCTCAGATTGTGTAGATGATGATCCAACCATTAGCAAGTCAGCTTTAGCTGGCAACCTAGAAGCGACTTGCTGAGCGTGAATCCGATGAGATTATCAGAGACTGATGCTCGATCGTCACATTGAAAGGCGGCAAATCCAGCGCAGGCTGAGATGGGGTCGTGTCGTGATCGTGTCCGTACATGAGTACGTTCCAGAATGGCATCGCCTCGTCGCTGACGGAGAGAGCAGCAGAGAAGGTGGCATGGACCTGTATTACCGCATTCTGCCTGTACCTTGTCGTGGTGATGGAGGTTTGTCTAACCGCAGAGGCTCTTTGGCTTTGACTTGCACGCGAGTTCTCCGTGCTGGGGATCATTCTTAGAAATGAGCTATAGTGATACGGATCCAATATCTTGTGATGCTGTCAACCCGAACGGCATGTCAATGCCGGGGTTTTTCCCGATCGGTGAGGGAGGACGAAGATACCAAAGTTGAAGTGGATTAATGTTTGAGCTGGAACTGATCATGAGTCTCGTCATTCTACTTGAGCAAGACGTCCACCTGTACGGCTATCGTCTTAGGAATTGACTTTTTCCGCAGGGATTGTAATTGAGGTAGTAACTGACATGCATGAGCCAGTGTCAGTTACAAAGGCTTGAAGTGCCATTGATGCAAAGAAATGGACAAAAGTGCATGTGACGCAGAATTCAATATTGATGCGGAATCACATATGGGAAATAGCGGATCGGCCTTATAACATGAAGAATTTTGAAGGTCGGACCATTGCGTAAACCGTTGAAAA